AAATCATAGCGTTACTTTTCTGTTTTGTTCCTTTTTTTTTAAAGATCAGCTAGAGCACCCTAGCCTCTGGTATTGGTGCTCTAGGCAAAAAGTGCACATTGCCTAGAATGGACATGCAGTGTGTACACATGTGAGATGTGCATGTGATGTGCCATTTATGAACACCGCAAGAGAAAGTTTCAGGAATTTTCTTAGTTATTCCCCTAATTTCTTGTCATTTAAGATCGGGTCTTCATGAAACTTGGCCCTGGATAAATTGTGCAAACATTTCAGTTTCATGTCTTATTATTTTCATTGACAGATAACACTGTTGGTTTCCGGCTTGGTGCTTACGAAGTTACATGTACGTATTTCCACTTGAGTTTCCTTTTTGTAAAAGACGTAGATCAGCTTTCATGTTTGATTGGACGGGCTGTTGAGGGGCATGGCCTATAAGTAGATGACGCACGAAGGACTTGATTAGTTACCTACCAATCAGAATGCAGTACACAGAAGATTGACAGATGTACATATTGTGCATTGTCTAATCTATCTGTCAGGATTTAATTATTAAAAAGAAAGAAACAAGCTACAAAAGACTTTAACCACTGTCATCCCCTTTCCTAACCAATGTTGGCTTACTTTTGTGGCATGAATATTGAGGGTATACATTTGTACTTTCAACATTGACCAGCCAGCTCTATTACTCAATAGGGATTTTTCAACAATTACAACCAAGATTGAGGTTACAAAATTGAGAAAAATCACTGCTTCATTAAATGTTGCTAGTGTACAATGTACATGCACATTTAATTTATCACTGATCTTGCTTTTACAAGCAAATTTGTTTGTCTTATAAAAGGATGTGACTTTTAGAAACATGGTTTGCATCCTGCTGCCGGCCAACAAAACGAACAATCAAATATTACTAGATATCAGAAAGACATACAAGCTCAAATACCCATTGGGTGATAGTACATTGCTGTATTAGGTGTGTTTAGAGTGTGAAATTACACAAGGAATTAGCAGCTTTAATGAACATGTAGAAAGCAGCAATTCCTTAGATACTGTCCAAATTAAGGTACATATACAATCTTGTCTGATGCAAAAACAACTGTACAAAGACCTTCATATTTTATAGCATTAATTTTTCAATTGTCCAAATTTTTAGTACCCTTGACTTGAGTCAATCTTAAAGAAATATTAGAATATTGCTTTACATTTAAACATCATAAAAAGATGGAGCTCATAATACTGATGCTACACAGTTTATGTACAATTCTAGAGCGTGCAAGTCTCGCCAGATCACATTCACTTTTTATGTGAACTTCTTGTTACTAAAAACTGAATTTACCCAATAGTTGTCTGCATAATAGATTGAACGGAAGTAGAGGTCAACATTTGTCTGTGCTCTGCACAAAAAACCATATATGTAATAGATTTATCCTCAAAAATATTTTTTCAAGAAACTTTGAACGTAAGGTCTGCACTTAATTTGGTCTTCAAAAAATATGTTCCATGTTGTGCTACATGTATTCACAAAGATTGCTACAATGTATTTGGAATCAGACGCTCCTTATCCATAACTTGCAACTTGTGTTGTCTAATACTTAGACTGTCTGAAACGGGCTTCTAGAGCTATGGCTATGGCTATTGTTCCCATGTAATTGTAATGGGTGAAGACCCAGACAATAGCCATAGACATCTCACTTGCAAGCTCATACATTTGTATTTCACTTAAACATACCTAAAGCTAAAAATTCAGTCTATTTTCTTCTCTAATTGGAGTTGGTCTTTTTATAATCTGTTCATTTGCATATCAGGTCTTGTCCCACAACAGATCCTTATCACGATCTGATGCAACAGCACTTCACCTCAGAGATCTTCAAGATTGAGATCCCAAACCTCCCAAGACATTTTTGATTTGCGGTGAGTTTTCTCTCTTAACATTGAACCCTCGATAACGATAATCATACAGTTTGCCCTTTTTAAGAGTTCATATTGCCAACCATGGTTGGGATTTTTCAGGCTCTTTTAAAATAGATTAACCAAATTAAATGGGCCGTGGAATGAATTTCCACGAAACATGAAAATAATCATATAATGGTAAACAGCTGCATACTTTTTGCAAGGCCTGTGCACTTTCACAATTCTTTCTTATGTTGCTGTGATGTCAATATAGGTAGTTTACACTGTACAGCTTAGGGATTTTCTGTGAAATTTATGAACCAAAAATTCATTGCATTGTGCATGCACACATAGCACTTCGTGCATTATGACCCTGTGCTATGATCATGCTAAATACAGTCAACCTCGACCAAAACACTTTTGTAACTTTTTGTCGTCAAACAGCAAGTGACACTGAAGTTCCAGCTCATGACATCACTGTATTGCTCATGAATATGGTACTTGGCACTTTCATGAAAATATTTAAAAGCCTGAAACATCCTCAAAGCTTATTAAGAGGTGCATGTCCCAAAATAAAAACCTCCAAATCTGTTTCAAAGGCACTTAAAAAAATATGTTAAAAGTGGAAAATGTCATAGTTATCCAGTGCCAATACATGTTTACGTATTTTGTTCTCACAGAAAACAAACAAACTTACTCATTAAGGCACACACAAAATCCTCATTCAATTAGCAATGAACGTAATGCAATTTGTAATTTCTGAACCACTTGCATACATACATTGAATGAGTTCCAGCTGGTCCCTTCACTGATAGTTGGTGGCAATCTGCTCTGGGGCTGCACATTAATGATGTCATGGCAGGTACATGTACAGTTATTGGCATGATCCACTAAAGTAAAACACATTTCAACTCCACCATATTATGCTGTTAATGTTTCTCGACCTCAAATCTATTTGGCTTTCCAATGAAAAAAATGTACAGTACAGGTATGAAAAGGCCTAAAACTGCTCTACAGTTAGAACATCCCAGAGCAGTTCAAAAGCACACATGTGCTCCCTGATCACTTGGACGTTTCACACTCAATTACCAGAGAACTTTGCTCTTGACATCTTTCCAACGATTGACTCCCTTCTGGCTCTGGATGTGCATACTGCTGCCCTTGTGCTGATGGCTCTGTGCCAGTCAGCCCAGGCCATTGTTCCTGAGTACTTGCAAGTGACTGCTGGCTCTCTGTGGGTTCTGGATGTACACACTGTTCCCCTTGCATGGATGGCTTGCAGTCAGTCAGACTAGGGCATTGTTTCTGATGAGAATCATTTGCAAGCGCTGGGGTCCCTGCTGGCTCTGCATGTACCTCAACATGCACTTGAACATGCTGCTGACTGTGCATGAATGCCTTGCTGCTGCTTTGCCTGGAACATTGTTCTTGACAGCTGTTCAGTGACTGCTGACTCTCTGTGTGTTGTGCATGCCCTTGGCTTGGTGGCTTGCTGCTGCTTGGCCTAGCAGCACGGTGCTCTTGGTCGTTTTCTGCCTGTGGAATCACACGAAGCTCAATCTGCTTCCCTGGCTGCGATGATCGGCTGGGATTCCGTCTTGGGCAGCAATTACAGCACAGTTTCAGGAATGAGAAAGCCTCGACTACAGCTTCACGATACTCAGCATTTGTGGCACTGTAGACCAGGGAATTGATTTAGCCATTGATAAGATACATGATTGTTGTGCACGTAACCACAATATGTAGTTTTTCTCCAAGTTTGAGATTTTCAACAGCCTGGGAAGGCACACTCATAGAATAAGTCATTTCCACAATGAGAATATTTGAAGCTGCAATGGCCAGTGAGTTCAGAATGAAGAAAACAGCAGTATTGATTATAACCATACGGAGGACCTTGCCTGCTAGCTTGGGACGGTTTGGCAACAGGGCTGATTGCTTGCGCACTTTCACTACTACATAGATATACAAAGCAAGAGTTGCTATTAAACAGACAGTGTTGATGATGAAATTCATCCAAAAGATGATGTCAGTGAAGACGTACTCTATTGGTAAGAATATCAGAATCACACCAACGATAATGGTTGGCACCCAGAGTCCTGCTGATATCTTTGCTGCTCGAGATTTAGAGGCTTTTTCTTTGAATGTCAGAGGATTGCGCACTGCAGAGAATCTCTCAGCTGCTATGGTAACCACAAAGAAATTAGAAGCAGCTGGGAACATGTATCGTAAAGCTTGGACTGCATTTAGGACAAGGATGCTGAACTCTATATGTGAAAACAATGCAACTTGAAAGTCATTCATAAGGTAGAGTGAGTCAGCCACAGCCAGATTGGATAAGTAGATGTTGATGATTGTACGCATGGACTTCACTCGAATGACTGTGAAGAGAAAGACAAAGTTGATGAGGAGGCCGATTGTTGCAATGATTTTAATACTCAACCATATTATTTGTTCACTTCTATCTAGACTCTTGCTAAAGTTCTCAAGATGCTTTTGTACTTCAGTTGTTGGAGTGGAGCTGTCTTGGTAGCCATCACCCATAGTTCATGTACAGTGTAACTATTTGCAACATTCCATACGGATAGATTATTGGTACATGTAGTCTGTCCTATTTCAAGATGACTCAGGTTTTATACTAACCGAGTATATAAGACATCGAGCAATTTGAAATTGAAACTAAAAGCTTCTTCATATTTTCTCCCAGCTTTGCCTTTATCTATAAGATATTCAAGGATAATTTTGTCCATTATTTTGACAGCAGTGTAACCAAAACAGTCAACACTTTTACACTATATTGTCATTGGCATGAATTTTCCACTTTTTGTTTCTGCTCGGTACATGCGTTTTTAAGTTTGTGTGTGTGTTTCCCTCAAGATAGTGCACACTGTTCTTTAAACCCAATTAGGTCTCAAGAAATAAACACAATAAAGGTGCACATCTCAATGTCTCCAACATTTAGTGCGTTTTTTTATTGTTAACTTATTATATTTCAAAGGTTTGGGTCAGAGGCCAGACTAATCAGTGTTTGTTTCCAAGACATTCCCATAAAAAGTTACCATGAACTGGCAAGACTCAAGCTCAATTGGCAATTTGGCAATTTTGTTTTTTTACAGCAACTGAAGATGTTGACTGGTCTTCAACTGAAACCCGAGAAAGTCAAGGCAGTCAACAAGGCAACCTATGCTTTTGTGACATTCAGGTAAAGAATGTTAACTCTCTATTGATTTTTGCTTCCAAGGTCATCAGTTGTTGCTTGTAAAATTAAGTAGGCATCTACACCCAGTCGAGTGTCCATATTTGAAAAGATGCTAAGCTAAAACTGTGTCATTTTTTAATGTCTCATTCAAAAAGGAATAACTTATTTATTGCTTGCAAAATAGCAATTTAAAAAAGAAATTTATTTTTTTGGTATGAAACTCAAAAAAAGCATGGGGCCTGCATGCAACTTTAAGTACACTCCCACCCCTGACACAAACATTCAAATGTACAGATAGTGATCTCCTTTCCTGTTATACTCAGTGGCTTGTGATGGATTGATCGATAATAATCAAAGTGATTACCGACTGTCTATCAATATTTTTATCTCTCAGCTGCCAAGAAGATAAGGAGGAGGCCTTGAAACTACTCAACGGACACACGAAAGGACAAGTGCTGAGAACCAAGGTATTCACAAAGTCAATAAGCACTTTCACGGTATATGCGTCATCTTGTTCATTTGCTAGACGCAAGCACATTTTGGAACGCATGACTTGAAAGCGTGAAAGTTTTTGATTGACAATGATTACACAGCAACACTGGTAAATTTGCCCCGTAAGCAAGATGGCTCAATGACCGTGAAAGTGCTTATTGTGGTTTTACTATTGGCACTTGCTTCTGTTGGCACTAGTCATTGAATTTCAATTACTAAAAACTGTCTCAGCATTGGCTACCAGTGCAAGGGGTCTAGTGGCTGCTATTGCTGTGGTTATGGGTTCACATTCCCACACTGACTTTTTCCTGTAGCTCGCCAAGCCAGTTGAGGACCCGTACACTAAGAGCCTTGCTCTGAAGAGAAGTCAAGAGGAAACTGATGGAAACACCCAAGAAGCTAAGAGGAGGAAGGAGGAGGACAGCTTACCAGTAGAAGAGAGGTGAAGACATTGTGATAGAATGCAGGGTTGGGCTGGATTCGAACCACCGTTCATTAAAAATTTACGGCAGTTCTAAACTCGGATATCATGGATATTGGTGCTATTTGGTTTGGGTCAGGTATTTTGTATTGACCCCAAATTTACCCAAACCCACAAGCACCTTGATATTGTGTCTGCCTTATCTCGAAAAGGCTAATAGCAGTTGAACTATTCACGATAATGACAATTTTCAAGACTCTGACTGAGTGCAGTTTTTGCCTCCTTTCCCAATCTGCAGGTTAAACAACACAGTGACTCCACCATGGAACCAGCCGTATGAGGACCAGCTATCCACCAAACAGACCAACACCAGGGAGTTTTTGAGGAATTTATCCAAGATGGTGCGACGGAATATTGGGGAGATGTCTCCCTGGCTGAAGCAACAAAGGTGAGCTACTCACCAAAGACACAGGATGGTTGTGGGCCAGAATGGAAATGTAAATTCCTTTGACAAAAACTGTTTTCAGACAACTTTTTCTGGCAAGTGGACTTACATGTATAGCTGCCCTGAACATTTGTTAAAGCTCCAGAAAATGTTAGAATCAGTAAAAATTCATCACCAAAGTTTGTGTCCAATTTTCTGAAATAAGCTCTCTTCCCCGCACACAAAACTCACAAAGAATTAAAAGAAAAAAACAAAAACATTGGAAAAACCTCAACCCAAACCTAATCAATTCACAAACTGCTTGAGTGGGACTCGCACCAGCAACCCTCTGCTTCCTGGTGCAAATGTTTTAACCACTTGACCACCAACAAAGACATGATTTTTATGTAAATTTATCTGTAGTATTTTGAATGATTCTATGAATTATAATATCAACGTTAGTTTACTTTTTCACATAGTTAGTGCTAGGTTAGCTTGACTGGTGTGAACTTGGGTAGATAGATGAGTCACCTTACTTTTACTTTGAATTAATATTTCAACCTGGATTTCTTGTTAGATAAACGTTACAGTGTGTGAAGCTTTTGTGGGATAAATATTCCTGACATTGGAGATGGCTCATTTGTTCCTTAAATTTTCGTTGCTTGTGTGCCAAATCACAGCCAGTATTAGAGAGTTATCGCAACAAGTGTGAGTTTACCATCGGCAAGAGTGTAGATGGCATCGGTGAGTGAAACTGGCATTCATTTTTATTCATCCAACCTCTTCATTTTTCTTGTTCTGCATTCTTTGGATTGGATGATTTCTGGGCAACTCTGAAGTGTCATTGGTGGGATGTGAACCCCAACCCCCTGCTTATAGAAACTCTCTTATTCAGGGGCAGATTGAGACCAACTGTCCCTGGACTTACTGGCAAACTGGGTCTCACGGCCATCCCATGTTTTGACAATGCGATCATCATGTGTGTTGGGGAAAAATGATTGTAGTTCTGAGAGAAGCAAAGAGCAACCCTAGGGACTCGTAACTAATTCAACCAGGAATATTTTGACAAGAACGGATCGAGGCGCAGGATTTATTTTCACTCAACCTCAAGCCAGGCGGGTTGAAGCCATCACCCTCGGGCAGCACACTCATATTTCCGGCCTCGCTCGCTGTGAGCAGGTCGCTGACAGATATGTCAGCGTGTTTGTCCGTCATCCATTCCGAATCCCGCAAAACCTTTGGATGTATACAAACACGTCAACCGGCGCGAACTGGTTCAATGAAATAAAATTTCAAATCGTTTCTTTTCACATTTTTGTTATTGAAGCACACCAGTGAGTTCAGTCCACAACTATTGGTGCTCCTGGCACTATATTATTATGTTAAATGCACATTAATTGTGCATACATGTACAAGTGCATATAATGAGCCTCTTTTGAATATCGCAACAGAAAGTTTTAGGATTTTTTCAGTTATTCCCCTAATTTTTGTTAGGTCTTCATGAAACTTGGCCCTGGATAAGTTGTGCAAACGTTTTAGTTTCATGTCTTATTATTTTCATTGACAGATAACACTGTTGGTTTCCGGCTTGGTGCTTACGAAGGTAAGTATTTCCTCTGAAGTTTCCTTTTTGCAAAAGATGTAGATCAGCTTTTATTTTTGATTGGATCGGCTGTCGAGGGGTGTGGCCTATTAGTAGATAACGCTGATTTATTACGCACGAAGGACTTGATAAGTTACCATCCAATAAGAGTGCAGCATACAGAAATATTGACAGATGTACATATTGGGCATTGTCTAATCTATCTGTCAGGATTTAATTATTGAAAAGAATGAAACAAGCCACAAAATATTTTAGCCCTCGTCAGGAAAAATCCCTTTTCTAAACAATATGTTGGTTTACTTTTGTGGCATGAATATTAAGATTGTGTATTTGTACTTTCAACATTGACCAGCAAGCACTTTTACTTAATAGGGATTTTTTAACAATTACAACCAAGATTGAGGTTACAAAATTGAGAAAAATCACTGCTTCATTAAATGTTGCTAGTGTACATGCACATTTAATTTATCACTGATCTTGCTTTTACAAGCAAATTTGTTTGTCCTATAAAAGGATGTGACTTTTAGAAACATGGTTTGCATCCTGCTGCCAGCCAACAAAACCAACAATCAAATATTACTGGGTATCAGAAAGATGTAAGAGCTCTAACACCGAATTGCTGATAGTACATTGCTGTATTATTTGTGTTTAGTGTGTTAAATTACACAAGGAAATAGCAGCTTTAATGAACGTGTAGAAAGCAGCAATTCCTTGGATACTGTCCAAATTAAGATACAAGTATATACAACCTTGTCTGTGCTAACTGTACAAAGACATTCATATTTTATAGCATTGATTTTTCAATTGTCCAAATTTTAAGTAAACTTGAGTCCATCTGAAAGAATTGTAAAATATTGCTTTGCATTTAAACATCATACAGACACGGAGCTCATGAATGTAATACAACAGACTACTGGTGCTACACAGTTTATGTACAATTCTAGAGCGTGCAAGTCTTGTCAGATCACATTCACTTTTCATGTGAACTTGGCACTAAACACTGACTAGTCTAGTCACAGATTTCCGTGTTTGAATTTGCCCAATAGTTGTCTGTGTAATCGATTGAACGGAAGTCAACATTTTTTCAATTGATTATGGTACAGACCTAATCAATGGGCAATATTTTGAATGTGTTGGTAAATTGGAATGATTCTTTTCTTTTTCAGAACCCATTCATTGCCATTGACTGGATAAACCTAGTCAGGACACAAAATAAATGCACACAAATAGGATGTTACACACGTTGTAGCTCCAATAATACATGGTGCCATGCTCTATCGACAGAAGTGGAGTACAAATTGCTGACTTAAACTATCAACTACATTTTTTCCAGCTGAATGTAGTAGCTATGAAGAAAGCAGATTAAATCCCATACTGTACATTTAAAGCCTACAATATGTCTGTGCTCTGCTGAAAAAAAAACCCACATCATTAATAGATTTTTCCTCGCTAAAACAAATTTTTAAAAACTTTGAACGAAAGGTCTGCACTTAATTTGGTCTTGAGACTATATGGACTTTTTTTCATGAGGAAGCCATTTTGGTCGTGTTCCCTGCATGTACATGTATTTGTTCTAATTGTGAACTGTTGAGTGGGATGGTGCCAGACTATTTGTGCATTCTATCCTCACTTTTGTCTTTTTCTTTAAATGTGGCTTAAAACATTAGGGTATGTTTATTTTTTAATCTCAAATTTTAAATCACAGCAGACTGGTTTTAATTTGTAATTTAGTTTATGTCATTGCTTTCATTTCTCTTCGCAAGTTCCAATTTACCTCGCTTTCAATTTAGTATGGCCGACTCGTGAATAAAGCCCATTTTCCACGTCGTTCTAATTGTATGCCTAAAGTTTGGTAATGTATTTGGAATCAGATGCTCCTAATGTATAACTTGCAACTTGTTTTGTCTGCTACTTAGGCTGTGTCTGAAACAGGCTGCTAGAGCTATGGCTACGGCTATTGTCAGATTGTTCCCATGTAATTGTAATGGGTGAAGACCTAGACAGTAGCCATAGACATCTCACTTGCAAGCTCATATTAGACTTAAAAATACCTAATGCTAACAAAAAGATAGCAAATCAGTCTATTTTCTTCTCTAATAGGAGTTGGTCTTTTATCTGTTCATTTGTCTTTCAGGCTCCTTTAAAATAGATTAACCGAATTAAAGGGCTATGGAATGAATTTCCCTGAAACATGGAAATAATCATAAACTGGTAAACAACTGCATACCTTTTTACAAGGCCTGTGCACTTTCACAATTGTTTCTTATGTTGCTGTGATGTCAATATAGGTATTTTCACTGTACAGCTTTGGGATTTTCTGTGAAATTTATGAACCAAAAATTCTTTGCATTGTGCATGCACACATAGCACTTTGTGCATTATGACCCTGTGCTATACAGTCAACCTCAACCAAAACACTTTTGTAACTTTTTGTCGTCAAACAGCAGTGACACTGAAGTTCCAGCTCATGACATCGCTGTATTGCTCATGAATATGCAACTTGGCACTGTCATGAAAATATTTAAAAGCCTGAAACATCCTGGAACTTATTAAGAGGTGCACGTCCCAAAATATAAACCTCAAAATCTGTTTCAAAGGCATTTAAAACAATATTTTTAAAGTGGAAAATGTCATGGTTATCCAGTGCCAATACATGTTTATGTTTTTTGTTCTCACAGAAAACAAACAAACTTGCTCATTTAGAAACACACAAAATCCTCATTCAACTAGCAATTAACGTAATGCGATTTGTAATTTCTGAACCACTTGCATACATACATTGGATGAGTTCCAGCTATTCCCTTTAGTGATAGTTGGTTGCAATCTGCTCTGGGCCTGCACATTAATGATGTCATGGTGGGTTCATGTATTGCAATCCACTAAAGTAAAACACATTTCAACTCCACCATATTATGCTGTTAATGTTTCTCGACGTCAAATCTATTTGGCTTTCCAATGAAGAAAGTGTACAGTACAGGTATGAAAAGGCCTTAAAACTGCTCTACAGTTTGAACATTCCAGAGCAGTTCAAAAGCACACATGTGCTCCCCTCACTTGGACGTCTCACACTCAATTACCAGAGAACTTTGCTCTTGACCACTTTCCAACGATTGACTCCCTTCTGGCTCTGGATGTGCATACTGCTGCCCTTGTGCTGATGGCTCGGTGCCAGTCAGCCCAGGACATTGTTCCTGAGTACTTGCAAGTGACTGCTGGCTCTCTGCTGGTTCTGGATGTACACACTGCTCCCCTTGCATGGATGGCTTGCAGTCAGTCAGACTAGAGCATTGTTCCTGATGAGAACTTGCAAGCGCTGAGGTCCCTGCTGGTTCTGCATGTACCTCAACATGCACTTGAACATGCTGCTGACTGTGCACAAATGCCTTGCTGCTGCTTTGCCTGGAACATTGTTTTTTACAGCTGTCCAGTGACTGCTGACTATCTATGTGTTGTGCATGCCCTTGGCTTGGTGGCTTGCTGCTGCTTGGCCTGGCAGCACGGTGCTCTTGGTCATTTTCTGCCTGTGGAATCACACGAAGCTCAATCTGCTTCCCAGACTGCGATGGTCGGCTGGGATTCCGTCTTGGGCAGCAACGACAGCACAGTTTCAGGAATGAGAAAGCCTTGACTACAGCTTCACGATATTCAGCATTTGTGGCACTGTAAACCAGGGAATTGATTGAGCAATTGATAAGTTGCATGATTATTGCACCCAGTGCCACTGTGTTTGCCTTTTCTGAAAGTTGTATCAATTCAATACTCTGGGAAGGCACACTTGTCCTTGAGACAATGACAATAATTGCAGCTGCAATGTTCAGTGAGTTCAGAATGAAGAAAACAGCGGTATTGATGATAACCATACAGAGGACCTTGCCTGTTGGCTTGGGACGGTTTGGCAACAGGGCTGATTGGTTACGTATCTTCACTACTACATAGATGTACAAAGCGAGAGTTGCTATTAAACAGCCAGTGTTGATAATGGAAACAAGCCAAAAGAGTATTTGAGCAAAGATAATTTCTGTTATTGGTAAGAATATCAGACTGACAGCAACAATACTTGTTGACACCCAGAGTCCTGCTGATATCTTTGCTGCTCGAGATTCAGAGGCTTTTACCTTGAATATCAGAGGATTGCGCACTGCAGAGAATCTCTCAGCTGCTATGGTAACCACAAAGAAATTAGAAGTCTCTTGGAATATGTATGGGATATTCAATACTGCTTTTTGCCCAGGGATGTTGTACGTTATAGGTGAGAACAATGCCAATATAAACTCAGTCACAACGTAGAGCAAGTCAGCCACAGCCAGATTGGATAAGTAGATGTTGATGATTGTACGCATGGACTTCACTCGAATGACTGTGAAGAGAAAGACTATGTTGAGGAGGATACCAATGGGTGCAATGATTTCAGTACTTAACCATGTTATTTGTTGATTTCTTTTATCACTCTTGTAGTAGCTCAGAAGATGCTTTTGTACTTCAGTTGATAGTGTTGAGCTGTTTTGGTAGCCATCACCCATAGTTCATGTACAGTGTAACATTGATTGCTGTCTCCAAAGTCGTGGTTCATATGTTCATTCCTTTCTTCGCTCTTGGAATAGTTCTCAAGATGCTTTTCAACTACAATTGATAGAGTGGAGCTGTCTTGGTAGTCATCACCCATATAGTTCATGTACAGTGTACAATTAATCCCTGTGTCCTACATGTACATTTTATTCAGATACAGCCAAGAAAGTTCTTCTCTATTTCAAGATCATTAAAGTTTTATACAAACAGGGAATATACATACTGCACAGGGAATATTAGACCTTGAGAAATGGGCAGTTGAAACAGAAAGTTTTTCCATATTTTCTTACTTTTTTCCTGCATTTATCTTAGACGCATTGTAATGCACATGACATATCTCATGACAGCAGTAGCTGTAACCAAAGCAGACAAGTTGGTTTCGTTACTGTATTGACATGAAATCTGAGATTTAAATTTGTTTCAGTTTAAAGCATTTGCTCCAGATTATAGGCCTACCAATATATTTGTACATGCAAGTGTGAAATTAGGAGACTTTTGAAGCGTTGCTGACAGCAAACGCACCGGTCCTTTTCAATTGTTTATGTCACGTTTAAGCTAAAGCACACATGCTCACTATGACGCAAACAACGGAAACAGGACCAATGTGTTTGCTGCCACCAATTCTCAAAAGCCTCCCATTGTTTGGTTTAAATTTTGTTCATGTTACTGATTATGGAGAGTAACACTTACTCAAAACTTCTTTAACCACTAAGTTCACATTTTACATTGAAATGTAGGTAACTATGAAAAAGACAACTTTTATTATTGAAATTCCATGCTGTCTTTTTTATGAATTGTGTCCTACCCTTGGATGTTGATCTTTTTACACGTACATCACAACAATTCAGTACTTCTATTCTGTTTGATAATCAATGTGATCTGATAAGGAATAAAGTTTAAATGAAAGTTTCATTCTAAAATAATCATTTGATTTCTGTTCATTTGTTGCTTTTTTTCTTTCTGGAGCTGATGCTGGTTGTCATCTGAAATCAGACTCTGCCTTGCCTGACATTCAAGTTGATGTCATATTCTCAGTTTTGTTGACGGAATGTCTTTGTAAGAGAGATTGCAAGGGCTTACTACTTCTGGATGTGAACCCAGAACCTTCTGCATAGAGTGCAGGCATCTTAACCAGCTCCACCACCAAGTTTGCTGAAGTCAGCCAAGGGCAGATCCAGAACACAATTTTGGGGGGGGCCAAAAAAATATTTTGGTCCCCCAAAAAAGTGGGTCAAAAAAATTACGGCGTGGGGTTCGGGGCCCGCTTAATGGCCCCAAAAAATTTTTGGATTCTAGATGCTCTGTGGTGCGATCTGAGGTAATTTCTGACCACTTTAACCAATGTTTTTTTGGGGAAAAGATGGTGGTGTACTCATTGCCTGCCTTTATTGCGATGTCACATAAAAAAAAAAATTGGTTTCGTTTTGGGGGGGGGGGGGGGCATGGCCCCCTTTGGCCCCCCCCCCCCCTGGATCCGCCCTTGAAGTCAGCTGGCTGATTGGAATCTTGTTGAACAGCAAATTGCTGCAGATATCCATGTACATGGAGTGGTGCTGATAATCAGTAGCGTACATAATGTAGGACTCAAAGAACTTACTATGTGGACTGGATGTGAACACAGAACGTTCAGCTTAGAGTGCAGGCATCTTAACCAACTCCACCACCAAGCTTGCTGGAGTCAGCTGGCTGATTGCAATCCTGTTAAACAGCAAATTGCTGCAGATATCCATATATGTAATGGTGCTTATAATCAGTACATAATATAGTATTTGAATCAGTCACACGACTCTAGCAGATTTTCTACATTACATAATAATGGTGTAGATGTTGGCACTAAGTGTGGGAAATCATGATTAAAATCAAGGCAAGGTTAAATTATGTTGTTTTTCCTGATAAGAATTATAACTACTGACTGTACAATATGGATTCATGTTTAAGATGATACCTCATTTATGTAAGATTCTTCAATGTTCACATTAAATTTTGACAGAATTTCATGTATAAATCAGTTATTTACACATACAATTTCAAACTCCGCAATCCAGATTACAAAACTTATTTTAGAGTTCAAACATCTTTACAAGTTGAGAAACTTTAAAAATCGTGTTATATCCCAATATACAAATTACAGTACATGAGAAGTACATGTACATTACATTGACTATTTACAGCAATATTTTGGGAAAATTATTATTTTCATTGACAGATAACACTGTTGGTTTCCGGCTTGGTGCTTACAATGGTAAGTATTTTCTTTGAACTTTCCTTTTTGCAAAAGCTGTAGATCAGCTTTCATGTTTGATTGGATCGGCTGTCAAGGGGCGTGGCCTATTAGTTACTATACTGCTGATCAACTCCAACCAATCAGAATGCAGCACACAGAAAGATTGACAGGTGTACATATTGTGCATTGTCTAATATGTCTGTCGGGAATTAATTATTGAAAAGAAAGAAACAAGCCACGTAAGAGTTTAACCCTTTTCATTGCTTTTCCTAACCAATGTTGACTTACTTTTGTGGCATGAATATTAAGGGTATATATTTGTACATTGACCAGCAAACACTTTTACTAAATAGGGATTTTCAACAATTACAACCAAGATTGAGGTTACAACATTCAGGAAAATCACTGCTTCATTAAAAGTTGCTAGTGTACATGCACATTTAATTTATCACTGATCTTGCTTTACAAGCAAATTTGTTTGTCCTGTAAAAGAATGTGACTTTTAGAAACATGGTTTGCATCCTGCTGCCGGCCAGCAAAATGAACAATCGAATATTGCTAAGTGTCGGAAATATCAGCTTTAATGAACATGTAGAAAGCAGCAATTCCTTGGATACTGTCCAAATTAAGATACATATATACAAATACAACCTTATCTGATACTAATTTTGCAAGGATGTTCATATTTTATAGCAGTGGTGTAGCCAGGAATTTTTCAGGGGGGCGGGGCTGGAACATTTCATGGGGGGGGACGTCATGTAGATGAATGATAATTTTTTTAGAAACTCAAAATCTCAGTGGGGGGGGGGGGGGGGGGGGGGGGCTGTCGTCCCCAAGTTAATTTTTTTTCTTCTCTAATTGGAGTTGGTCTTTTAATCTGTTCATATGTGTATCACGTCTTGACCCACAAGAGAACCATTCCACCAGCACCTCTGACGTACCGGTGACTGGCGCTGCCATAATGGATCCTTATTACTATCTGATGCAACAGCACTTCACCTCAGAGATATTCAAGATTGAGATCCAAAACCTCCCAAAATCGTTATCGAGGGTTGAATGTTAAGGGAGCAAAACTCACCGCAAATCCAAAATGTCTTGGGAGTCCCAAGACATTTTGGATTCGCAGTGAGTTTGCTCCCTAAACATTCAACACTCGATAACGATAATCATACAGCAACTGAATTAAAGGGCCGTGGAATGAATTTCACTGAAACATGAAATATAATCATATATGAAAGTAAATAGCTGCACACTTGGTATCTTTTTTAAGCGCACTTTATGCAATGCCTGTGCACTTGCACAATTGTTTCTAATGTAGCTGTGATGTCGAGTTAGGTATTGTACTCTTTACAGCTTTGGAATTTTCTTTGTCATTTATGACCCTAAAATTTATACATGCAGAGATATCAGTTTGTGCATATATTAAAGTATGTCATTGACTACCTGCCATGTGCTAAATAATGAACAAATCAGTGACATCAACCTCAACAAAAGCACTTTTGTAACTTTTTGTCGTCAAACAGCAGTGACACTGAAGTTCCATCTCATGACATCACTATTGCTCATGAATATGCAACTTGGCACTGTCATAACATAACAATATTTAAAAACCTGAAACATCCTCAGACGTAAATTACAGAGGTGCATTTCCTGGAATCAAAACCACAAAATCTGTTTCAAATGCACTTAAAAAGTATTTTACAGTGGAAAATGCCAGGTTTCTCCATATGTTAGTACCAATACATATTCACACAGAAAAAAGAAAGAAACTTGTACACAAAACCTCATTCAACTAACAATTACAATATGGAATTTGCAATTTCTGAACCATTTGCACGCATGCATTGAATGAGTTCCAGATGTTCCCTTCACTGATAGTTGGTTGCAATCTGCTCTGGGCCTTATACACTGCTCCCTTATATGGATGGTTTGCACTCATCAGTTACCAGAGAACATTGTTCTTGACAACTTTCAAATGATTGACTCCCTTCTGGTTCTGGATGTGCATAATGCTGCCCTTGTGTCGATGGCTCGGTGCCAGTCAACCCAGGCCATTGTTCCTGAGTACTTGCAAGTGACTGCTGGCTCTCTGCTGGTTCTGGATGTACACACTGTTCCTCTTGCATGGATGGCTTGCAGTCAGTCAGACTAGAGCATTGTTCCTGATGAGAACTTGCAAGCGCTGGGGTCCCCACTGGTTCTGCATGTACCTCAACATGCACTTGAACATGCTGCTGAGCGTGCATGGATGCCTTGCTGCTTCTTTGCCTGGAACATTGTTCTTGACAACTTTCCAGTGACTGATGTCTCTCTGTGTGTTGTGCATGCCCTTGGCTTGGTGGCTTGCTGCTGCTTGGCTTGGCAGCATGGTGCTCTTGGTCATTTTCTGCCTGTGGAATCACATGAAACTCGATCTGCTTCCCTGGCTGCGATGGTCGGCTGGGATTCCGTCTTGGGCAGCAACGACAGCACAGTTTCAGGAATGAGAAAGCCTCAACTACAGCTGCACGATAGTCAGCGTTTGTGGCACTGTAGACTAAGGAATTGATTGAGCTATTTACAATTTGCAAAATTTCTGTGCATATAATGAGAATATTGACTATTTCTTCAAGTTTTTGAAAGGCAACAATCTGGGCAGGCAATGGATAAGTTCTTGCCACTATTGTAATTATTCCAGTTGCAGTATGCAGTGAGTTCAAGGCAAAAAAAACAGCAGTATTGATGATAACCATACGGAGGACCTTGCCTGCTAGCTTGGGACGGTTTGGTAACAGGGCTGATTGCTTGCGTACTTTCAGTACTACATAGATGTACAAAGCAAGAGTTGCAACTACACAAACAATGGTGAAAATGGAAGGCAACCAAATGAAGATATCATAGGAGACAATTTCAAGCAAGAATATCAGAATCACACAACCAACAATTGTTGGCACCCAGAGTCCTGCTGATATCTTTGCTGCTCGAGATTTAGAGGCTTTTTCTTTGAATGTCAGAGGATTGCACACTGCAGAGAATCTCTCAGCTGCTATGGTAATCACAAAGAAATTAGAAGCAGCTAGGAACATGTATCGGACACTTGTGAATGTTCTTTTGGCTAAGAAATTGGACTCTGTGGGTGAGAACAATGCCAATATAAAGTCGTTCAAAAGGAAGAGCGAGTCAGCCACAGCCAGATTGGATAAGTAGATGTTGATGATTGTACGCATGGACTTCACTCGAATGACTGTGAAGAGAAAGACAAAGTTGATGAGGAGGCCGATTGGTGCAATGATTTCAGCACTTAACCATATTATTTGAAGACTTCTTTTGTCACTCTTGTATAAGTTCTCAAGATGCTTTTGTACTTCAGTTGATGGAGTGGAGCTGTTTTGGTAGCCATCACCCATAGTTCGTGTACAGTGTGGCATTGATTTCGTGCGTCCAACATTTTGTTCAGATGTAGTCTGCCCTATTTCAAGATCACTCCAGTTTTATACTAACAGGAAATATAAGACCTCAAGAAATGCGTAGTCAAAACAGAAAGTTTCTTGAAAGTTTCCCCCTATTTTTCCTAATTTCTCTTAGACATATGCACGTGACTTATCTCATGATAGCAGTAGCTGTAACCAAAGCAGACAGCTCAGTTTCGCTACTGCCATTGACATGAAATCTGAGAATTAAATTTGTTTCAGTTTTTATTATTTGCTTCAGATGATACCTTCGTGCATGCATATTGTGTAATCCTCTGTTCATGTTCCTGATTATGGAAAGTAACATTCACTTAAATTCTGATAGTGGCGGGAAACAGTCTTCCACGTGAGAACTTAATCAAAGTCAGGCAACGTTTAATAAGGGAATAAACGTGTGTCCGGGAGGTATTATAACACTCTGTTTAAGACCGGTGGGAGTCTGGATGGGCGATAATTACCCGAGGCGAAGCCGAGGGTAATTATCGCCCATCCAGACTCAAACCGGTCTTAAACAGAGTGTTTAATACCCACCGAACACATATTTATTCCCATTCATAATACCTTTTCGGTCAAAAAAACGAATCTTTTCGGTCCAAAAATCAAAACAAGTCAAAAACTAGATGTTGCCAACCATTGTGTTCAACAATTTTACTTCATGTTTTACGAAACACCCCTCTGACTATAATATGGAATGCCCCTCCACAACTCCACAACTCGTTACCTTATAAGGACATTGGCGTGCATGTTGGGCGTACTGCGCGATGTCATGCAAAACGCAGCTGGGCTGGTGTAGCAGTGATGTAGTGCCTTGATGCTGGGCCTTGGCCTTAAGGCTGCCTTAAGGCTGGATTTTAGGGCCTTGGCCTTGGCCTCGAGGCTTGAGGGCAAAAGCCTTGGCCTTGAGGGTTCAGGGCCTTGCAATCTTGAGTCAAGACTCTTCAAGGCCCATAGATTTTTGCATTTTCCAGATAAATCTGTTCGAAATTTTGCTGTTACCATTTTAATCGTATTACCATGGAGGAGGGAAGCACCCTAAAGATGTGTGTGTTGGGTACACTTCCACTTTTATAGCATCACATTTTGTTACTATTGTAGTAGATTTGCTGCAAAAATATTCCGTACACTTGTGGGGCTAATGAGATGATCACTTTAATTGCATATAACTATGGAATAGATTTGATTTGTTGTATATGTCTCCCTGATAAGTGCTAAGGATTTGCATGTATCTGTTTTAGATAATGCTGATATTTCTGACCATGTTGGGCCAGCAAATAAAAATTTCCCAAATCAGTTTCTTGGATCCCCTTTTGTTACACTTGGGAGAATTGTGTGTCAATATAGAAGTAAATCTTTATTTTGTTTTAGTTAAACCATATTGAAGACCTGAACTTATACTTTAATAGATACAGTGCAGTCATAAAACGGTGTAGGCCTATGCGAGCATGTTGATTGCAATTAAAGAAATGTTGTTCTTTGTAACGAGCAATTCGTGATGATAAGGGCGGATCCAGGGGGCCAAAAGGGGTCATGCCCCCCCCCCCCCCCCCCAAAAAAAATGAAACCATTTTTTTATGTGACGTCGTAATAAAGGCAGGCAATGAGTACACCACCATCTTTTCCTCAAAAATCATCGGTTAAAATGGTCAGAAATTGCCTCAAATCGCACCACAGAGCATCTCGAATCCAAACATTTTTTTGGGCCCTTGAGCGGGCCCCAAAGCCCAAGCCGTAATTGTTTGACCCACTTTTTTTGGGGGTGGGGGCAAAATTTCGTTGCCCCCCCCCCCCAAATTGTGTTCTGGATCCGCCCTTGCGTGATGATGTGTCACTCATGTGACTATAATTAGTTCTATATCAATGGTCATTTCATAAAACAGGGTCTTGGCCTTGGCCTTGAGGGTTAAGCCTTGGCCTTGTCCTCGAGGCTTGAGGGTCAAAGCCTTGGCCTTGAGGGTCAAAGTCTTGGCCTTGGCCTTGGCCTTGGCCTTGGCCTTGAGGGTCAAAGCCTTTGCTCCAACACTGTGGTGTAGTGTGAATTTCGGACCATGAAATACTGATTCACTGGTAGTATTGCGCATGCATACGTGAGAAATGTGAACGTTCAACCAATGAAACGTTAAAAGGCACTGGATTTCATGGGAGTCCAAATTTCATGTGACACTGGAAAAGTGTTTAAGACCAGCTAGCCATGTCTTTATCATCCGTTTTAGACCAGCCAGGTAACGGGCTCGCGACCAATAGAAAATGAACCTTTTTTTATTGAAACTTGAAAAAAACCCACATTTTTTTAACCGGACACTTGGCCTCCGTAAAATCAAAAAGTGGGAGGGGGGGGGGGGTCTGGTACCATCTTCAACATAGGGGCGCTCTTCCAAACCAATGATTATATGCTAAATATGCATTATGTGCCCATTTTCGGGCCGTATTGTATGGGTTTTGGGACTTGGTTTTCATATTCCTCGTTTATATCAAAAATAACTATACCATTATTGGGAAATGGTTACTTCTAAGAAATAGTAAGATACTTTAAGGGCATTTTGTTTGTATCTTGAGGGGGCACTTTACTGTTCGAGGGGGCACATTTATGGCAGCAAAAGGGGCACTTGGGAAAATCTAGGGGGGCAAATGCCCCCCCCCCCCCCCCCCCCCCGGTTCCGCCGCCCCTGAGCGAGCACATATTTCTTTTTCACACAAAGTGATACTTGTACATTGCATGTGTTGCACAAAAACGCAATATGGATACATGGACTAAACCCTGCTGTTTGCAAATACTTGTGCATGTACATCAGAATTCTATTAATGGTGCAAGGTAAATTCAAACTCTGTCAAATCTCTGTAGAAGTTGACTTTTTCCCTTAATCAAATGTCTAAAATGTTACAATTCCTGTTCTGGCTACAACTGTATAACCCAAACCCAGCATGTCCATTTTCCACCTCAGTACTCAAGTTATAATAAAGCAAAAGCAAATTTCACAAGCTTTTAATACAAAAATTGGAATCCCAGTCTGAGATGTCACAACTTCACTTTGTTAGAAGACAAGAAGACAACTTTTTGGAAAATATTCGGGCAAAAGATAAATTGTCACTGATTTTTCAAGCTTACTCAGTAGGAAAGTTTTTGAACCCTGAACAAAGATTCTGGATATTGTGAAACTGAGATGTATTCAAGTCAATCACAAGCCAATCACAAGTCCATCATAAGTCCATCACAAGTCAATCACAATTCAATCACAAGTCAATCGCAGGTAATCACATACCAATCACAAACTGATCACAAGTCAAACACAAGTCAATCACAAGTCAATCATAAGTCAATCCAGGGGTGTGAAATCTCAGCTTAAAGCTGATTACAGCTTTTTTTGTTTTGGATTTCAGCTTTTTTCCCTCACTTGCTGTGTTCAAAAGTATAGGAGATTTCCAAAGTTCAGCTTTTTTGCACCTTTTCCAGCTGTTTTCAGCTATTTTTATCAGTGGTCACTCACACCCCTGTCAATCACAAGTCAATCGCAAGTCAATCACAGGCATCACAAACTTATCACAACTCAATCACAAACCAATCACAAGTCAATCACAACTCAATCACAAGCCAATCGCAAGCCAGTCACAAGTCAATCACAATCTTATATTCCCTTTTCACAGTTCATTTGAATAGCTTGTGACTTAACTTGAGACTGGATGACTAGTTATGACATTCTCCTCGGGGTAGTTACTCATTTATGTTCTGTCCTCCCCAGTCTCCGTCAACCGATTTCAAATCGAATCAAGGGAATCCCATTCCGGCCGACCAAGGCAGTGGCCGTTGACCTCTTCCCACACACCAAACACTGTGAGCTGGTCATACTGTTTGAGAGAGCTGACCGAGTTGATCCCTACTACGAGGTACCAGTGGACATGAAAAGATCCAGCAAAACCGATGGCGAAGTTTCAACATCAGTCGTATGTTGATTTATTTACAAAACTGTCACTGATAACAAAGTTTTTTTGTCAAAGCTGGTATGCAATTAGTGCCCTGGCAGGGACATGCAGTGCTTGGGGCAAGATTTCTATTTGAAAAAAATGTCAAGCAACTTGCGGGTACTTTGGAGAGTTGGATCCCAACGTTTTTGGTCCCATAATGACCACCGTACAACCCGTGTGTGGTCACCACCAATGGGAAAACAAGGACGTGTAGTTGTGTACCCACATTAGCAAGTGTACAGCACTGATGCCGGAGGGTTGTGCTGTTACCTGCTCTGTATATTGCCAACTGGGGGCGCTGTTTCAACCGTCCAACAAATTTGTGTGTGTAAGGGGGGGGGGGGGGGGTATGGGCACTCAGTGGGATTTTAACAATGAAAAGCTTATTTTTTGCATTTCTGAGTGGGGTATGGGCCACAGGCACAAGGGGGCATGGCGTCGCGGGAGGGGGGGCCAAGGGGGGCACTTGCCCCCCCCCCCTGGAAAAGCAAAAAAAGAAGAAAAAGAGGCGCGAAGACATAGTGGTGTAAATTTAATGGGTTGGGGGGGGGGGGGGCAAAATGTGCCTGACCCCCTCTAAAACTGATAAATCGAGAATGTGTTGAGAAATACAGGCATTTTTTTGGCAAAATTTTTTTTGCCCCCCTCTAGAAAAAATCCTGGCGACGCCCATGCAAGGGGGGGGGGGGGGTTATCCCTCCCATGGCCCCCTCCCGTATGTTCACACCACATTTCAAGTCTAGATGTGAAAAACTTGAAGTAGGCCCTATACTCAGTCAGAAGAGAATTTTGAAGTTTGGCATTTTGTTTTGCTGCAAAGGAGTAGGAAACACCATGAACTCCATTCTGAGGCATCTACATGCTTGGACAAGTCATTTATTCCCATGAGAAAGTGAGCACTTTCTTAAGCTTGTACTCGCCTTACAAAAAGCTCTGAAACTGTCCTGACTTTTCCAGTCCGTACAGAGAAAGACAAAGTGAAATTTTAAGTTCTTGGCAAAGACAAAATAGATTTATGACAAAACAATATTACCAAAATGACTGCCTTTTAGTTCTTGCATATCTTTTCCCCAAAAGTTCAAGAAATATTTGAATTATATTAATAACAAAAGGTATGTATGTTTCATTTGAATTTTGCATCAAAAGTAAATTTATTTTTTGGGAAGTAAATAAATGAAATTATGTTTTAGATACCTGAATTTGTGTCTGTGTTTGTGTCTTTGTTACTTTGCCCTAAATTTGATTGTCTTACATTTATGTCATCATAAAAAGATGAGTTTGACCTTTTGTTTTGTCATCCATGACAGAGTACAAGTGAGGTATCCATTGAAAGCTAATGAACGACCTTTTAAGATGCAATGACCCCGACAGTGCTCAAATTCCTAATTTTAACATACTGTTTTCGGATTACCTTTTTTTGATACAATCTGTAACCTGTCGATTATTTTGGTGAGTCTCTTACCATAGCAAGCAGAAGGTTCCTCAGTGCTGGGCTGATGAAACTGGTCCTTTTTTTACCCAAGCCTACTAAGTTTTTCATTGATGTCAATTATATTTGCTAGAATTTTGTTATACTGCGTGTAAATGCCCCATGTTCGTCGTTTGTAATAAACTGTTTATGTGGTACTAATAACATAAAAACGTGTAAAAGTGAAAAAAGTGACTTATTTATAATTGGAGCAATACTTATTCATACTGAGTAGAAAAAAATCACAATTCATAATAAATCAATGGAAAGACTTACCTAATTTGGGATAGTTGTAAACATGTCTAGTCAACAATAAATTGTATGAGTTCATAAATGTCAATTGTTTAGCAAAATAGATTACATCCTTATTAGAATTAAAATATAAATTCAACCCGCCAATCAAAGTGCAGCATTTCAAATATGTTTCCCCAAACCAATCTAGGTTTCAACAACCGGTTAAATATTGAATCTACCCAGCTATTTTGATTGGATAATTGATTCAACCAATCAAAAAACAGTATATCGCTGACGTAATAGAAAATAAAAAATCCCCTTATTCAATTCCTTTATGTGCAGAAACCCTTTATACGATTCAGTAATCAATGTAGTATGAGTCTGCCTTGTAATTATAATGATAATTTGCCTCGTCCAATAAGAAAACGGTATTTTGATGATGTCATACAGATTTGAAAATACTTCATTGCAATCTACGGGTCTGCAAACCCCTTTTCATTCATTCATTCATTCATTCATTCATTCTTCTTTATTATTTTTACCACATCTCATTTCATTAAGTGACGAGGCATAAATACATACATGTAGTTTTAGATATTAAGAAATTTGAACTGTTTTTTTCAAAATATATTTATACACTTTGGGCGCATTATTTTTAAATTAGAGATGATGGAAGGAGATCCCAAAAAAGCGGAGCTTGTCGAGTAGGGATCCCTTTAACATGAATTAATACAAACATGTAATGAAAAACAATTGAACATGTAAATTGTAAATTGTACATAACACACGGGAAAACATTTAAAACCAATAATATTCCTGATCAGAAAAAAAAGAAATACGGAGTAGTAACCCAGTAAGAAGATTAATCTGAGCTATTATAATTTGATAGTAAATTCGATTTAAGTTTGGATTTAAATAATGGAAGGCTACGAATGCCCTGAAGAGATTTATGTAAGGACTTCCAGTACTTAGGGCCGTCATGCCTAATTGTCTTTTTGTAAACAGTTGTTCTTGCAAATGAAAAGTGAAATTCTCTACGTTGTCGGGTAAAATGGTGATGTATAGTTTCGTTTCTGCAGAACATTTGTGCAATGGAATTTGGAAGTGAATTATTATTCAAACGATGCATGAAGGCTCCAAGCTGAAGTGAATACATTTCATTGACCTTGAGTGTTTTATGTTTACAGAAAAGAGGATTTGAATGCTCAAGTCTGTCAACAGAATTAATAACTCTCAATGCCCGTTTTTGTAGGTTAAGAATTATATTCACATAACTGGCTGCACAATTCCCCCATGCTAGGATACCATAGTTCAAATAAGGCAAAATCAATGTATTAATACAGCATAAACAGTACTTCCTGTGGGAAAAATGCTTTGAGCTTACTAATGACACCTATATTTCTAGGGATAATTGAACAAATGTTGTTAACTTGAGTTTTCCAAGAGAGAGATGGATCAATATATAATCCCAAAAATTTTACACAATCAGAAAAGGGCAATTTTATGTTATCGATATATATATTTCCGGTAAATGGGACCATGTTTTAGCGGTAAATAGCATGCAGGTAGTTTTCTTGATATTAAGGGATAACTTGTTTGCTTTCAGCCATTTAGAAATGTTAAGTAATTCTTGGTTAACTAAATCAGTAAGTACATCAATGTTATATTTCATTGAAACACTTAAAATCATTAATATATGAATTTAAAATAAATTGGTAAGATATAAAACGAAACAAGTAATATTTATGTACTTTAAATGTTAACTTCATCAAGCTTTTGTAATAATGAGTATTTAATGTTGGCACACTTTGTATTCTGGCCCACTGTGCGACGTCACATGAAAAAAATTTAAAAAAATAAAAAAATGGTTCTTGTTTTAGGGGGGCATGGTCCCGTTGCGCCCCCCCCCCCCCCCCCCTCTGATCCGCCGTTGGTGTCATCGCATTTTTGGGTAAAAAGTAGTACAAATTTTAAAAAATAATTTCACGTTATCAACGCAAATTGTTAACAACAGGAACGACATTCCACTGTCCACCGTTTGAATTCAGGGCCGGAAGTTTGATCAATCATCATTAAATCGGTTAGTTTCCTTAAAACTAAAGACATTTTTTTCAAAAAAAGTTACCGGGTCATCCCCATCTCCCCCCCCCCCCCCCGTCCCAGGCAAAGACGCCACTACCTCTAAAAAAAAACCCACTTTTTCCTTTCCACTTTTAAAAGACTACATCGATTTGATCCACTCTCGCTTCCCAGTCTTGTTTTACAGCTTACTAACGTAAAAAAAAAACTGTTCAAATCAAATTCCCGACTTCAATCACATGCAATCCTCATAGTTTCTGCGGGCAGCATATTCGTCAAGAATGGTTGGTCACTGGCTCTGAGATCATGATTCTCCGTCTCCTCTTCCCTCCCCTCATTTCCCCTAATCTTTTTGTCTCTTCTACTTTTTGCCCGATGTGCTAAATAATAAATAGAGACCTGGAGTTTGGGGCGAGGGTGGTCAATATCATGTGTAGGTTTTGTATTGGACACCAAATCTGATATAGAAAGTCAAAAACGAAGAGTTCACACGTGCATCCGTCCTAACGAATAAAAACCAGGACGTTTTCCAGGTATGACGGTTGCTGAAATAGTTTTCTTATGAGGCATGTTATGCATGATTCATAGTAGACTGAACTCATAAAATTATTACCCCCTCTATTGACACTGTCTATCATGCAACAAGTGTAATGGACTGTTCCATGTTTTGCAGGGGAATTGTATGTACACAAGAGCAATATCTACACAAACGTTTTCTATTGAAACACTTAAAATCAATACTTTATTAATTTAAAATGCATTGGTAAGATAATGTGATCTGAAACAAGTAATATCTGTCTGTCTACTCGTTCGAGTAGGCAAAAATGTACACGTGAAACTCCCTCTTACTACAATGAGCTGACTTCCTGTAAAATACGCATAACAATAAAATAGCAGACGACATTTCGCACAGTACATTGCAGATCGGACTTTGCGAGAAATAAGCTATTGAATTTGTGCAGCTGACTGAAACCAGTACTTGGGCAGTAACACACCGGAAACACTCACAGGAGCACAGTGTAGCGTGTTGTGATCATAATTGGTATTGATAACACTTAACAGTCAATCCTACTGAGGAAAGAGCAGAAAATATGGTTTGAAAAAAGTTTTCTGGTTTAAACTTTAGACTGTCAACAAGTCGCGTCACAGTAGCAAGAGACGTACGACTCGGAGTCACCTACTGGGAGCTGTGCAGACACAGCAAACCGACGTCAAAATGGCAGTCAATCACATTCGTCGGATAACTCCGCACGGTAAATCTTAAAATCCTGAAATGAGAAAAAATGCTGTACTGCTTCACTATTGTGCTTGAGTATAACATCATTCATTGAGGCGATTTTGGTCACGTTTATTGCAAGTTTTGAATTTATTATTTTGTTGGGCATGTTAGGAGGCCTTGGTCTATGATGGAGCTATAGCTCCATGGTCTAATTGAGAAAGCGTGCAAAATGTTAGTGGTGTTCAGCTTAAATTTTGACCATCCCCATTAGCGCATTTGTTATTTGCATTCCTAAATTGATTGTCTTATGAATTGTGAGTTATGTCATTTAAACTATACATGCTTTATATAAATTATAAATACGGACAATGAATTTGTGCAAGTTGTGCTGAATAGTTCCAATTCCTGTCAAGCATTTAGAGCTGAGACAAGTTTTCAAGCTGCATTATGAGTAGCCCCATAAATGTGGCCAATTTACTGGACTAGCTCCGTAAACATAGGCCACACTTCCACATGTACAAAAACGTGTCGAACTTTGTCCAATTTTGATGTTCACAGTGCCGCCTTTTTCAGATGTCTACTTTTCGTGAAATTTCCAGATTCATTTGCACATGTTTGCGTATCAAAATTTCGGTGACTGCTCTATGTTCCGACACCCCTATGTTCCGACAACCTAGATTGTGTTACTCCCAGTTAGGGTTAGGGTTAGGAATAGGAATATGTGCAGTCAGAACATAGGGGTGTCGGAACATAGAGGTGTAACCAAAATTTCAACATGAAATTTCACGAAAATTAGACATCTGAAAACGGCAGCACTTTCTGATTAGCCTATAAAGAGGGTGAGTATGCTTCTAAAGCAAAAAAACCCTACAAACTAAGCCTAAATGTGAAAATCAAAATTTGACAAAGTTTGACACGTTTTTGTACATGTGGAAGTGTGGCCTATGTTTACGGAGGTAGTCCAGTAAATTGGCCACATTTATGGGGCTACATTATGAGTAGCCTACCTGTGATTTTTCACAATGTCTTCTGACTTTGTACACAAATGAAATAAACCAACACATCTGAATTGGACATTTCTCCAAAATCAATTTTATGATAAACCATTTTTTGCAAGTTTGGAGTTATATCAACTGATAGTTTATAGTCATATTCAAGAAATTCCTTGTTCTAATTCACCATTAGTACCTTTGTGTATTGATTACTTTAATAAAAATATGTGACACTGTGGAAATAAATGAACAATGAATTTACCCATGACTAAAATAATGACATAAAACGTTCATTGTCAGAATTCCTTCTGTTTATGAAGAAACCATAATTGTGTGTTATTAATAGTCGTACTGAAAACCTTACTGCAATGTGTATGTTATTGTCCTATCCAGATACGGTCAATTTGACCATCAAGGAACAGTTTAGTTTTGAATGGAAGGAGAACTTTGGGGAGCTGGAGGTTCCAGAGATGACATTTCTCAAAATGAAAATCCCTGAGCAGAGCGACCGCAAGAGCACAGACGTCTCCAAAGCCACAGGGTTCAGCGAAGTGGACTCGGAGATTCTGACCAACCTGGAGGAAGATCTGAAGGAGAACACGTCCCGCATCCACAAACTCCGCCACGAGCTCAAGCTGGAGAAGTTCTGCCAGGACTGGCTGAAGAAGGAGATCAATCGATACAACCGGGCCAGCGAGGGCTTGGATGCCGGCTCCACTGGCTCGGAGGAGTCTGAGATGTGCCTGGACACTGACGATGATACGGATGCGATGATGACCGACAAAGGTGGCCTGGACACTCCACGAGGCTCAATGGAGATGGACACGGACGAGTCGAGAGAGCCCGACGATGAGAAAGACCCAGACAAGGAGGAAGAGACAGAGGAACCCTTGTACGACAACCGGCAAAACCTGACCATCCAGGATGACAGCTCTGACGATGACATTGAAGGCATCTACGAAAATCTGGACTTCCTGCGGAAACTGCAGAACGGGAATGTCTCGAATGAGGACTCAGAAGGCGAGGATGTCTTCCCGCACAGTCCGGATCCAGACTGCCCGCTCACAACGAGCATGAGGGTCAGCACCGTGATTGACTTGAACAAAGTAACCGTTGTGGATGGGCACCGACACTTGCCTCCTAAGCCGTTAAGGCGGAGCCCTGCTCGAGCTGCCCCTATCCCTCCATCGCGTAGCTTGCCACCTGCTAGTGAAGAAAGTGATAACATGCAAAATGCGGGTAAGTTGTTTTCTTTTCTTTTTAAGTGCATTACTATCCACTGTTGTGTTTTCAAACTAAGGTTCATGTCATTACATGTACATCACAGTTTGCTTTTTCCTTCCATCTTGAGAATTGTTCTCTTATTTTGCTAATTGCGCCTGTGCAATTTCTGTCCATGGACGATTCTCTTCAGTTTCTTCACTCAAATCGATGTTTAGTTCTTCCTACATGTAAAGTACAAGTAGCGTTGATCAACTGTTTCATGGATGGTCCATCTAAGTAACTGTATTTCATAAACCCTAATTCCCTGGCATGATTTACTAGGAACCATACCCTCCTGGCAAATTCCAACACCATACATGGAAACTGCATGTACACACATTTCTGACTTTGATTCTGGAGGTGTGTCAACCCAATGTAAAAGACTATCAGTTTAGGGGTACTGTACCCATCCTGACAGATTCCAACAAAACATGCCCTTGGGATTTGATGGGTTGAGTTCTGTTAGGGTTAAATGTCAAAGTGGTATGCATGCATTATATGTTCACACACTTGTAAGCGACATGTACTTGTTTGTGCATAGCATATAATTAGTTATTGTTCCCTGTGTTGCCACTCCATTTGACATATCAGGCAGTCATTGTGACGTCATGAAATTATTGACACAACTCTGATGTTAGTTTCGCTATAGTTTTGGATTATCTCAGCTGTAGTTGGGACTTTGTACATGTACATGTAGTTGGGACAATGTTATGGACTCTGTGAACAAGTGCAGTATTTTTTACAAACAGAGTACATGTAAGGCGTGTGCTGCATTGCCACAATGTAGGCCTACACCATTCATTCTTCCAAAGACAATGTAAGTTTGCGCATATTTAGAATAAAAGTGATCTTGCATTACTGCTGTGCATCGTGTTGAGTTGACCAGGCCAAACCGACCCGAAGTGTATACACCGAATCTGCACTACAACCGATCTCAACTCCTCCTATACCCGACCTAACAAAAATTTTAGCAAAAAAAACCAAACCGACCCGACCCGAAAACCCCCCGAGTATCTGGCTTGGGCAACTGTTTCTGCTCTTTATGCCAGAATTTACCCCCATCCAGTGAAAATCGTCGTCTCTCAGTTAAGAATCATACCGTACGGTAATGTGAAGACTCATAAAGTGAACTACATTGTAGTGGTGGGCCTGCACGTTATAGACATGTGCATGATAGACCACGAAACCACATGCACATTGGCGCAGTGGGTTGGACATATCATATAGAGCAAGGACCCATAATCGTACCGGGCTCAGTATAACTACCAGTATATAACTCTTTGATGATATTTCACTGCGTGAATTTACGAACGGTTTTGGATTGCGTGAATTTACGAACAGTTTTGGATTATTTATTTTGAGTTTCTCACAAGATGGCTTAACCGACCAGACCCGACTCTAAAATGGCAAACACAATTTAACCAAAACCGTCTCAACCCGAAGTCGGTTTCTTACCATTTCATACCAATAAAGTAATCCAATAGTAAGCAAAGCAAATATTTAGAGAACAACAGACAAAAAAGTAAGAACATCAAATTTTTTTCCAACTACCCGGAACCTTTATGTATGTGTGGATAATTTTTTGGGAACGCACAATTTCTTTGCAGCCTAATGTGGGAAATTGTGTGTTGACAACCAATAGGTACGACGACATAATTAAATGAAATGGTTTATAATACACTCACATATACCCTCCGTCAAAATTCCAAGTCCCTGTCATTGTTAGTTGAAAGTCATATCTTGCGACACGGGTTTACTTAAACTGGCCTATTGAAAAATCAGCCAATTCTCAACCCGCAAATACTGGCTTTCAGCAGGTCTTTATTCATTTCAATGGCCGGGCTGAATTCTGCATTCAAACTTGTTGACCAATGACCTGCGCACAATACATCTCAATAATAAGGAATATTTCTTTTTGTGTTGCATCCAGGCATGTGGCTGCCAGGTGCATAACGAACACGGAACTTAGAACTTCCTGGTTCTGGAGAAAGCACTTTCCTCACAAAACGTGCACTTTAACGTGTACACGTACTTTACGTGATGCCGTCTTTCTGAAAATCACTCCATGACCTCGTGATAAGCCACAATTTTTTTTATATTATTCCAACAGGGTATTTTTGTTACGAATACAGTCCTGAGGCAATATGTACACATGTATTTAAAATGTAAAGAATGTACTGTGTACACTTACTGTAAGCCCATACAATTTAATAAATAAAACTGTTTGCATGTTTACGTGTACCGGTACATGTATCTCCGCAGCACTGTGAACCCAAATTCAACATCATCCACAGCAAATTCGAAGAAGCGGGTCCCGATGGGCCAAAAGGCTCTCGGCAATATGATTTGTCAGATTGAATTTCATTGCATAATGCCAAAATTGAGGATTGTCATCCTGTTCTGATAACTGAGACATAAATTGCTTTATAGTACTCAAATATGGCTCATGAGATAAATGCAGCGAAAACATTCATGGGTAATTTTCTTCTTCTTTTCAGTCACAGGTTGTGCTTAAATTCCAACCTGCCCTGGTTCTTTGATTGGGATAAACGTCCGTTGACACAGCCAGATAATATTCTGCAAATTAGCAGGGGTTGGCTGTTTGAATAGAGATTGGTCAGTTTACGTAACTAAGTTTCAGTTTGCTTAATGCCCGAGCCTCTTTTAATTAACTGCTCCAGTGTACGTTTTGTGACTATCCACGGCCTTCTCCTTATAAAAATCACAAAGATATGTTGTTTGAATTGTGATCCTTTACCCATAGAACTATTTACACAGTGTACTACATTTCTGTTTGTTTACATAATGTAAATTTCTCCTGGCACGTAATGTTAAATCTTCAAAATAAATATCTCATTAAGTTTATTATATTGTTTATTCTCCTTTTTTTGGTGGTATTTTAGGGTCTTAGAATTATATTACTCGATTGTGCCTCGATTGACTCTTGAAATATTTCCCATATGGCATGCCCATTGAATTGTAAAAGTCTGTGGATATTTCTAAACTAATGTACACGTTATTCTGTACATGTACTGGTGCTGTACTAAGACAAAAATCCCTTGGTCTTTTCAACCAACCTCGATAAGACAAACCTGTTTTACTGTTTGCTTGGGTTGTTTATTTATCTGTTTGTTAAAGTAAACCATCTCGTTTCAACTTCTTATTTAGTTTGGTGCATGCATGTGGTTCACACAGTGGATATTTTGCCTCATACCGTACATGTTGGTCCAACAGTTTAATTAAAGTACATGTTATCAAACATGTGCGTGTACACATATGATTCATAGCCTTCATATGTTGTCTTAACACACACACACAAATGAATGGGGATGGGTGTGTCCAATATGTGGTTGAATGTCCCATATATGTACTTAGTTTGCATGGTATCATCATGGAGGTAGAATTGGTATCATTGACTAGCATTTGAAGAACTAGGCTAATACTGATCACTTACACCCTCTTGCTTCCAACAATAGGACCTAGAGGCCATTTCTGCCAGATTTTGTTTGTAAACGGTTGAAAGGAAACAGTTTTTTTTGTGCAGCCAAATGTATTACAGGAAGTGAACACTGTACTGGTAGTGCTGTAGGCACCAACTGTATGTAGTGGTTGAACTGATGATAGGACAAATAACAGAAGGAAAACAATTGTTTGTGTTCCTTCAGTACAAATAAATATACCAATGATGGCCATTGACTTTGTTGTTTCAGTCTGACAAAATCAAACAAATACATTATAACTCTGCAACTCTTCAGAAAAACATTGTAAATTGCCATTAATTAAGGTAGGCAAAAAAAACCCTGAAAATTGATTTGCACTTTTCGTTGACATAATTCTTGATCAGTTGTCAGACAGGTGTCAATTCAGTTGATACCACAAAAATGACAAAACTTACTTCTTGAGAAAGTTTAATTGTTTCTTTTTAGGTTTTGATGGTTGAATCAAATCAATTTTTGTGAGAAATGTGTAAATTTAAAAAGCAAACATTTGTTCGCTCTGATTGTCACTACATGTGCACATCATTGTTGAATTCATAGGTTGGGCTGGGTTTAGTACAGTGTAGCATTCTACAGTAGTTTACAGTGCAGACTTAGATTTTCTTTCTTTGTCCGAAGTTGTAACTGTGTCATTCAAATCACATCCTGGCCTCAATATCGAAAGCAAAACGGACCAGCCACGACTAACACGTACATGCCCAGCACGTACCATACTCTGTTCTTGTCACCTTAACTTTTCCATACTTTCAAGGTACAAGGTCTGTGCGACAACAAAACCGAAACCCATGCTCATCAAACAACACACACCAAGAGACCTTTTTTGTCCGAGTTGGACTCCAATAAAGGACAAGCCTTGAACTTTTTGCTCATGAACAAAACGGCCTGTTAAAAAAAATCTCTGTATGTCATTATTCACTGGTCCGATCCCGCAAATTGGAACCAGGAAACCCCACCATGGCTCTGCAGGATGCCCCATACACGTACATGTACTGGTACTCAAGGTTATCTTTCTGAATGATGGATTTCAGTTGAATTCACAAGAGGACGTGCAGTCAGGGATATCAGTTGTTCCCTTTGTACAGAGGAAAACTACGTAACTGACAGGAAGGAGTTCAAGTGTTTGCTGCATTGCATACCAGACTTGCTACGTCACAGATTTGTTTTAAAAGACACAATACCATCTATATTAAATCATACAGATTTTTGGTTTTAAAGTATTTGAGAATATGAGAAGTCATACATGTGAAATTGATTACTACTGTCTAGTTTTCTCCTTTTTTTTAATCAAAAGTGGAAAAAAATATATTTACGTACTTGACACTGTTAAAATAACATGAAAGTTGTGGGTTCATGTACCGTACATTAGAAGCAGAGTTACTATTTAACCTCCCCAAGTAATTAATATTCAAATAAAAACAAATTAAAAGAATTTATTGGATGTACCGGTATCCGATGTACAAAAAAATACCAAAACTTTTACAGAGTACATTCAGAGTGAAACAATAACTTAATACCAAAATAAATACAATATTGTTATAATATATAACAATAATTATAAGATTTAATGACAACACGAAGCATCGCATTAATTAGGCCTAATCATCCTGTAAATAAAACGGTCATTGTGGACTTTTTGAGTAGGCCTACATCTTTGCACCCACAGTAAATGAAAACGTTGATTGAATTTCTAATTGATTTCTTAAAATCACCCAAATTATGTCTTCTGTGCTGGTTGATTCTCCTGAAGTGTGAAACCACACAGGTTCATTGGTGGATAATTAGGAGCTGTACAGTAAATAGTACAGGGGAATTCCACTCAGGGTCATACTTGGCTTCTGATTGACGTCAAAGATGTTTCTATTGTTACCGAGGTTCGGTCCACTTTTTTGTCCTGTGCCAAGTAACGCAGTGTCCACCGAACAATTCAGACATGGTCACGCATGCATCTAACGGTCAAGGAATGTTACACCAGATGTACAGAGTTGCCCCAACATGTTTTATTTTTATAACACCCATTTTTTATTAAAACCAAATTTTTCAATGATTTTATGTTGATTACTTTGAATGGAATTCATTTGTGGTTTTTTTTTCACTTGTGGATTGAATGAAAGGGAACCGTGGGTCTGTGATGTTGTACTTTTCCACTCAGCGGTGGCAGTCTAAAATCATTCAACCTTATCAAAATTGGGATGCATTTACAGTAGATTGACATGTTTGTGACCACCATGAAATGAGCATAAAGTTGGAAATGTTTACAGTATGTGGGACAAAACTAATAGTCTTTTGCTTTTTCAGTTCAACCTCAATCTGTAAGGTACAATTACCGGAACATATATGTAGTCCTATTCTACCTTTCCCAGTTGTTTTGTTCCATCAAACATAAAGACCTCTTTTCATCCCATTTTATTACATTTACTTGACTATTCATTCAATGTAATACACCAGCTGCAATTGTGCCACTTTTTCAAAAATTACTTTTACAACTTCAATTTATAAAAGTAAGGTAGTACTTTCAATGACGAACTTGAATGAAAGTGTGCACATATACCGGTAGGATTTCGTAGCAACAACGAAAGCTTATTTTATGCAAACTATCATTCCATTTACCGGTAGTCATTGAAAGTGCTACCTTACTTTTATATTCTATTTTGCCAAACTGACATGGCTGCCCACCCAATTTAGTTGTCGGTCGTATGTACCGGTATTTCCATAACTGAACGCAGTATACCCCCAAATGTTAGCTCTCGTTCTGCAGAATCAAAAATATAAATATCTTTATACAGTCTTAAAAAGCCTGACTAGTAAGCTCATTGCATGTACTTGATAGTGATGTTGTTGTTCCCTACCTACCCTATTTTCAAATGCCATGTTATCGGAAGTAGAACTATTTTTTTTGGCCTAAGTCCCAGATATGTGACTTTGCTGTCATTTTGAAATACAAGTAGTAGGGCCCGATGTAGTTTGGCTTGCGAGCTTGTTTACATCTCGTTACTAAAGATTTTGTGCTTACAGTTTCTGTGCAAAAACTGTTACACATGTAAGTGCAGAATGGTGGTTGTAAGCTTGGAATTCTGTGGTACCAGCACTTATGAAACTAAGGTTGATATCCAGATTGTCGATGAAGATAACGATGCCAAGATGATGAACTGTCCTCTCCGATTGTCTGTTCTCGCAGATTCCCCCTCACCCAGTGCCACCAGCACACCTGATGCCTCAGTGTCCTCCAATGAGGGCAGCGGATCAGCCTCGTCACTGGGTCAAGACAACCGTCCCAAGGTCTCCATACCCCGCCCCACAGATATTGTCGTCACCCCGGCTGGCGCTACGAGCCCTGAGCCAGACCAACCCACCAAAGAACAGGTATCTCAAAAAAAATCATTTCTGCTGACTCTTTTACTTTTGAAAAACATAAGGACCTTGTTCGTCAAGAAACAAAGCTTTAAGGGCGTATGATCATTTGCTTTTCACGCATTTTCTTTTTTTGTGATGTCACATTTTATCACCTTCTCATTTCAAGACAATATTAAATGGTTTCATATTATGAAAACAAAACCCAAATTTATAACTTAAAAAGAAAATGAAAGAACAAAATTGAAATTAACCAACTTTTTGTTGTTGTTGACAGCTCGCACACAGACTGTCAACACCGGATGTTGAGATCTTGAATGTGAGACGGATTCTACTGTGTGGAACGTTGGAGAGTGAACTGAAATATGTCCATACCATGGAGGAACTGCAGAAGGTAGGAGCCATTAGTGGTCAGACACGGTGATAATTGGGTGGGGGTTTGTACAAGAATGAAGGAACTCCTGAGCATGTGACACATCAGAGGTCACACGTGGAGGTAAAAAGGGTGGGGCACCTTTGACAGACCTTAAATAATCAATTAAGCAGGTACACAATTGTGGTCAGACAAGGGGGGACATCAATATTAGGTTTTTCTGCCCTTCACCGTCGTACATGTATAAGCGGGAACATGTTGTTTGTACATGTATCACCTTGTAATATTGAGGCTTTGTTACCGGTACATATATGTGGAGATCAGCGCAAACAAGTCTGTGCTCACTTTGTCAAATATAGGCCTACATGTAGATTACACATTTTCACATGTTTATTTTTCTCAGGTATTTATTTCCTATACTGTATTTTGTGGTGCATACATGTACCCACATAACACATACCGGTATGCATGTTCCCGTCTTGTATTACGCTCGAGGACAGACACACAAAGGGAGAACAAAAGATCCTTTCAGTCCTCGAACGACGGTGCTTTTGTTCGAAACTGTCCTTGATCGTACGTTTATGTGCTTAGTCTATGGGAAAGTGTTAAAGTACAGGGACAAAGGGAAACACAATAGGTTGTCCTCAGGCGTATAGTAAAACACGACTACATGTTCATGTTCTTGTATGTCACATGTACACATTACGTTTGTCATACAGAATGGGAAACCACAAATGTACCGGTACATGTAATTTCATGAGTACATAAACATTTATGTATATTGACGGAAATAGATAGCCTAATCCATGTGTTAATAGATTTTAAAGAACCATGAAATAAAATTCCATTGCATGTCAATGACGAATAATGTATGCATTCATTAGAGAAGCTATGACAAATGCGTAGTTGTATACCTTTTAAAATGAATGCGTGTCATACATGATGATTGTGCTTCAGTTCTAAGAATTTTAAGCCATTAGGAATAATGAATAATTTGTTTAAATGTTGCTGAATTCTCTTTAAAAAAAATTAATTGTATGCAATGTCTTGGTGTCATAATTTCCTTATGTACACTCTAAGATATATGGAAACCATTGCTGAATAATACATGTTCATGTATGTTAAATTACACGATATAATTTCAACGGTCTTTTATTTCTCACCATATCCCAGCTTATCAGCACCTGTTTTTATTCACCTACAGTAGTAAATAACGCCTGCAAACTAAAGGTCTTTCTTGTTTGTAATATTAACTAATAACAGTCACATACAATGAACGTGTGTGTTCCCAGGCACTAACAGCTGATGCCAAAGTCCATCTATGATCCGAAGTCCCAAATGCAAATGATATTTTCTCAGAAAAATGATAAATTGTCCCACCGTATCCATGGTAAATGATACCGGTACATGTACACATAATGGATTCTGTCAGCCTGTAATATTGTTTATCATGCCACTAAGTTTTGTTTACATGTACATTTAAAGTGTTTTCATTTGGACAATAAAGTGGCACTACATGTACAAGTGATTTATTTTAATCACTTGTAGTGCCACTTTATTGTCCTAAAAGAACACTGATCTTGTATGATGTATTACTTTATGGTTTCATTCCATCATTTAACTGTACTGTAAATTATTATACAGTCTGGCATATATTATTTTTTATATTTGGTTTAAATGATATACCCCCGGTACATGTAGTCTACATGTCTGTATCATGCAGTGTTGTAGTCGAGACCGGATAGTCCGAGACCGAGACCAAGACCGAGACCTGAAGTTGCGAGACCGAGACTGAGACCGAGACCAACCCCTTCAAGGCGGACCGAGACCGAAATGGTCCGAGACCAAGACCGAGACCGAGACCGAGGATAATAAATAACAATAATCTAAATAAAAAAACAAGTCACTAATTACAGCTGAACAGTCTGTCCTTGAGATGATGATGTTGATGGGGATGTGAAGGAAGTGATTGAAAGCAGGAATCACTTGTACCTGCTTAATTGTGTCATGCGAGTGCTCTTCATTTTTGCTTCATACCATAAATTACAACATGGCAACATATTTTGTTATTGTCACAATCAATTAAAAAAAGGGAAACAACCTAATTTAAAGAAGGGGAAAACCTAATTTGATGAACTCGATATATTTTTTTTATAATATGCTTTTTTAAAAGCATATTTTTTTAAATATAATATTGTTTTACTACTATAAAGTGTCAATCTGATGAAGAAACTCTAACTTAGGAGTACGGCAATTTGTACTAGTTTTTTGCGATGTTGAAACTTGACAAAAGCAAAAAGATAAAGGTGGATGTTTCATCTGTTATAGGAACTAAACTAAACTGTTACCGGACCCAAAACTCCACAGCCACCCCTTGGTTTCAGCAATGACTACTAACAGATATTTAAAAGCATGCTTTAATTTTACATTGGACCTTCTTGTAAACCTGATGAAAAAATAATTTGGAGCAAGAAAATATTGATTTATTTTTAAAATTTCAGTCATGGAATATAACTTGTACATGTAGACCCAAAAATTGAGAGGTGGTCGCCAGAGAGGCCTGGCTTAGGCTGAAATGTATTGCTACTTTATTTGTGTATAATGTCAATACCATTACATACACTATAGAAGATTGATGAACCATATTTGCCTGATCTATCTTCTGTTAATCTGCCCGCCGTCATCATCATCAGTAGCCTATTTGAGAATATGGCCGACACAATAGAAGGGCGCTGTCACAAACTGAATGTGGTGGGCGAGATGTACTTTTAGGATTCATGGCTGCGTGCGCACGCCTATTTGTGTTTTGTACCAGCGTATCACCCGCATCGGCTACTATGCCGGGCGATAATACTTGAATATTTTAGTAATTTACAAGTACAACATATTGCCAATATTTCACTCTTGGTTATTGTGATGGCCGTAAACAGCTTTTAGCAATTATGGAACAAAAGTCTTCTCGACTCATGCAAACGCAACTGACATTTAGAAAGGAGACGAGGCAGGCAATTAGACTCTATTTTTGTGTGACTATGGCAGTAGCTCAATTTGTGTTTATCACAAATGAAAAGATGAATACATGGCAAGTCAAAAATAAAGTGACAGTATGATAAAAAAAGAAAGAAATGGCACCCTCCATATTTGTTTAAAAATATATATAATTGGGATAAAGAACATGTTATTGAGTAGTAACTCTGAAAATTTTGCATTCTCTATTCCCAAGTCGTGCCTATTTTAATAAAGAGATCACAAAATTCAGCTGTCCACCACTAATAGCAATTTAACTGTCTACGAATTTATGAATATCCATTAATAAATATAATGAAAAAAAAACAAACGTTTTCCCGCCTCCACGAATAAAGTAAAAATTGAAAAGGAAAATAGAAAAAAAATCACCAATATTTCTGGGGAAAAAGAGTTTAATTGTTTCCCATATTCAAAACAAAAAATCTGACGTAAAAATAATGCTTCAATTTTGATTCATAAGATTTTAATCTCAGTTGTATTTGGAATCAATGAGGATGGCTATAAAGTGCTTGTTTCAACAAACCATCCCACAATAAAAACAAGAAACAAGAAAAGGAGCAATGGTTGTTGGACTATGCCTCACTCACTAGAAAGTGAAGAGAGACATGTCTATCATCATTACACTGCAGTCACATTTGCCCTCAACTGATTCCCTACTTAATCCTAAACTGGGGCCGGGGCGAAATCCGCCCCCTCACTTTTTGGCTGGTCTCGACTCGAGACCAGCCAAAATATCGAGACCAAAGGGGACCGAGACCAAGACCGAGACCACAGCACCCGAGACCGAGACCGAGACCGAGACCAGCAAAAAGTGGTCTCGAGACCGAGACCGAGACCGAGACCGGTCTCGAGACCTACAACACTGGTATCATGTAAGGCAAATTTGAAAAAGGATTTATTAATTAACCCTACAGGTCTACTCCAGATCTTCAAAAATCCAGAACACGGTTGGTCATTTGCAAAATGTCAGTGCTGCCGCACCTAACAGCTGCCATTAACAGGGCTTGATGTCCAAAGTACTTTGTACATTTACCGAGAATGTCTCAATACAATGTACCGTGTTTGATTTCAGAGAATTTTCTGAAACTTCTTAGCAAAAAACACCCCACAACTGACAGAAGTATTATGTGTTGCACTAGATAATCCAAGTGCAATATCTGTGGAACAGGCAAACAGCATGCAAGTTTTACCCGTTATGAAAGATTGTAAGCTAGTACTAATTTTAATGAATGTCAGGAAAAGTTTCCAACATTTTTTTGATGGTTTTATAAATTTGACAGTGGATTTAACTTGTAATTACACGAATGGGAAATTGTCATTTTTGAAAACCTTTTTGAAAATATCGATCATTTTAAAATTTATGTATCACCGAAACTGCAGGCACCAGAATCAACGGGGAAGGGGGAAGTTGCCCCTTAAGAGTCATGAGTTTGTCATCATTTGAAAATCCCGATACAGTCTACCTGCCAACAGGCAATGCACACACATTCACTAACTTTTTAAGTGTGTATTTGCCTGCAATCGGGGACCCCCTATTGTTCCTCTTTTGTTTGTACTATAACTTTTTAGGAAGACCGCCCATATGTTTTGTACACGAATCCAAATTGGGGACCTCTCGGGAATAGGGGACCTCTCAGGAATTGGGGACCCTATTGTCCTCTATTGTTCAACGTCCCCAATTGAATGCAGAAACAAACTCACGTGCACACCCACAGACGTTTAAATGTACTTGATTTTGTTCTATTTTCAAAGTTCTTTCATTTTCTCCCATCAATCCTTCAGGTGATGAAGACCTTTAAAGCCAGCATGACCACTTCTCAGCCCATCCTGGCGCCCGAGGACTATGACACCCTCTTCTTCAAGATTCCCGAGCTGTGTGAGGTCCACCGTGAATTCTGCAATCACATGGAGCCCAAGCTGCAAGAATGGACCCCCGAGCAGACCTACGGTGATTCCTTCAAACTTCTGGTGAGGCAGACCATTCAGTAATCAATTCTTAACCCCCCACCTTTTGATCCCCCCTTCTTGATCCCCCCTTCTTGATCCCTCCCCCTCTTGATCTTACCCCCACTCCCTTGTTCCTTGCCCAGCCCCTTCCCCTCTCTCCACAAGGGTTTATGGCTTGTGACTAGAGCCCCTTGAACAAAGATATTGACAAATGGAGAAAACTGCCAACAGGGCTGGATAGCTCAGTTAGTAGAGCACCTGAACGGTAATCCGTAGGTTGCAGGTTCAAGCCCCCTCCCGCCTTTGTTCATTTTTTCAATAAATTGTTAGAATTCACCCTGTCAGTTTCCACTTGTCAGTTCATTGTCAGTTCATCAGTGTCCTAGTTTTGATCATATCCACTTTGTGCCCACTTCCAGGCAAGTCATTTTGGGGTGCATGAGGAGTACATAGCCAACTACAAGAAAGCCATGGCCTGCTTGGAGAGGCTGAAGAAAGAGAGCGAACGCTTCAATGCAATCTCAGTCAGCATCAAGTTGCCGAACGGCGTCACCTACACAATGGAATGTAAGTACATGTCTTGGATGCTTCTTAATTAGAGGAGCATCAAAATGCTGTGAGCTGTTATAGTAAACCCTTGATAGCTCAGTTGGTAGAGCACCGGAACAGCAATCTGGAGGACAGAGGTTCAAACCCCACTCCACTCAGTTTCTTTGTTCAGTTGTTAAAATAAGGAAGTAATTTAAATAATTTCCAAAATTACAAAGAAATTGGAAATCTCTAAAAGGGTGAATTTGACCCATGATATCCTTCAGACTTCAGGCTTCTTGAGTTTCAGCTTCTTAGTTTCATGTTATATTAACATCTTGGAGATTGCCGGTTTTCCTGTAATTGTTCCCGTCGAAGGTTTTGCGTGATATGACTGAGTGTATTCGTCAGTGTTGTAGGTCTCGAGACCGGTCTCGGTCTCGAGACCGGTCTCGAGACCACTTTTTGCTGGTCTCGGTCTCGGTCTCGGTCTCGGTCTCGGTCTCGGAAGCTGTGGTCTCGGTCTTGGTCTCGGTCTCGGTCCCCTTTGGTCTCGATATTTTGGCTGGTCTCGGGTCGAGACCGGCAATATGTAGCTTTTACAGCTCGATCGATTACTATGTGTTTACTTTGTTCAGTACCGTTGTTATTTAAAACATTTGCTAGCCCGTAGATCAAGCTTGTTATATATCGGGGTCGGTTTGGACTCGACTGCACGTTGGAAAGTCCCCAAAGTACATGTAAAACTGCAGCAGTACCAGTCACTGAACGATTTGGAACAAGTTCGGCATTTATCTGTTGAGTCGGCCACATAAAGCAAAGTATAAACTTGTAACAATTTATGCAATAAGGGTCAACCATTTTCGGGGATTGTGTAGTTTAGCCCACCCCTGTGGGCGTAATCACTTGCATTTTGTATTCTGATAATAAATGAGGTGCTTCAAATTAGTTATATTTTCGACCCCACACAATGTTCTCTTTAATTTGGGACAGTATTTTGAAGAAAAAGTAAATTTTTCTACCTGATTTTCCAGCTTTGAACTCACACACTCTTACCAGTTACCACTCACTGTTGCCATGAGAGTGTATGATGAGACCCCATTTTCTGGCTGCTCATTTTAAAGTACCCCATTATTCCTCAAAAATTAAAAATCCCATTCAGAAAAAAATTAAAAATCCATATCTGGCACATTCTGGCTACCACCTCGCAACTTGTGGGTCTACATGTACAAGTCCACATTCTATGACAAAAATTTAAAAATTAATTCAACATTTTCTAGCTCCCATTTTTTAAAATCAAGTACACTATTCTTGTTAGAAGTTAAGTCCTATATTTATTTTAGGAAAAAATAGGCACAATGTAAAATTAAAATTGCATCTTTAAATATCCGTTAGAAGTCATAGCTGAAACCAAGGGGGTGACTGTGGAGTTTAGGATCCGAGTTCCTATAACAGATGAAACATCTACCTTTAACTTTTTACTTTTGTCACAATTGGGTGTAGACAACATGTCAAAGCCCATATTTCTTAAGTGTAACTACTTTTTGCTCAAGTAAGGTGTCATGTATCAATTTGTAAACATTGCCACTGGTCAAAATTTTGGTCTGTATTCTTTGTGAATAGAAAGGTTACATTTTTCAACTATAATAACGTGTCTTGTTTTTTTAATTTCGACTATTGTTATTTATTATCAGCGGTCTCGGTCTCGGTCTCGGTCTCGGACCATATTGGTCTCGGACCATATTGGTCTCGGTCTCGGTCCGCCTTGAAGGGGCTGGTTTCGGTCTCGGTCTCGGTCTCGAATCTTCAGGTCTCGGTCTCGAATCTTCAGGTCTCGGTCTTGGTCTCGGTCTCGGACTATCCGGTCTCGACTACAACACTGGTATTCGTGTTCCCACTGGATATGCTAATCAATTGCAGGTTACTCCCCCAGCTTGTTTTGGAACCTATTAATGCTCCTGGCCAGAGAGACAAATAAGGGTAAAGTAGCTTGCCCAAAGACACAACATATGCACAGCAGGTGGATTTACACACCTCTGATCATGAATCATCATCGTCGGTTTTGAGGCCGTTGTCCAGTCTCGTCTGGGTTGGCCTGCTTTCTCCCTATGGCTCTTCTCCACTTGCCCCTGTTCATCGCGTACGTCCCTCGCATTGACTCCAAGCAGACGCATGTCCCTAAATACTTGGACCCCAAAAGTCACAGCAAAGTTTTAAAAACAAAAACAAAGAGTCCATTGAGAAAAGAGGGCGTGCAAAAGTCTCAACTTTCAGAATAACTTGTTTGATTTAATCACGTTGGCAGGCCAATTCCAGTAAGTGGTTTTTTCCCTCACAAGCAACAAAATTTTAACTATTCCAGCCAGCCTTAATCCACCTTCTCTAAAAAAATATCCTAAAGGCCTAATAAAGTAATGGCAAGGACTCTGGGTTCTTGTGAAAAAAAAAAAATCACATGGCATTTATTGATCAGGAAATGAATTCCAGCTTTGATATATATTCGTTCTACAAGTGCATTCAACACAAAAACATCAGTAGCAGGAAGTAAGATGGCACGATACATGTGTATACGGTGGCCTGGGTGGGTTTTTTTAAGCAGAAATGATCCTTTTTGTTAAACCGTTTTCGACAGCACAAAGCACTGTTCATTGCCCCTGTGCAGTCACGTTCAGGTATAGTTGTTTGGATAAGAATTGCGTGCGATGGGGAATGTGACGTATTCTTTATAAAAATATTTTTAAACAAACCAGGGACGTCACACAAATATGCCTAGACGGATGCATTGTGCTCTGCATTCAATCACAGTTCCTGTTTGGATTGTTGTCATCGTCGTCGGTAGACTTAATACCCGGCATGGCAACGTGCATTGTGGTCTGATGGGTGTTACCGAATACTCCCAACCATTCCTGTGGATTATTTTTTCCCTTTTTTTATTTTTGGTGACAAAAAATTTCTGAGATCATGGGTGGTGATAAAAACTCTGAGATCATGAGTGCTGACATCTGGGTATTTATGTAGATCAGCATAAAGTTGTGGGAACAGTGGGTGCACCTCCCTATTGCGTATGTAATCCAGCACATGGAAATCCACGTTTATGGCTTCCTCAGGCGTTAAATTCCCCTCTGCACCTCGCCAGACAAATTGTGTTTCTGTGGGGAAATGTCCCGGAAATTAATTTCAAGAAAAATGCAGCTTATATACACTCAACCAGAAAAGAAAGTCCCCCCCCCTCTTAATACTTCTTTGTCTCACTCAAAAACTACTGGGCACATCTTGCTCAAATTACGACTGATCAGTACAGAAATTCCTTAGCAATCCAGCCATACTCTTAAGCAATTTATGACGAATGGTACCGAAACAAAGTTGTACTTTTGTATACGTGCAAGGTGAGTGTGAACCACAACTTGCACGTATACAAAAGTGCAACTGTTTACGGTATCATTTGTCACAAATTGCATAAATTTGTACACATTATCACTGTTTTGGGCCAATTAAAGAGTATGGCTGGATTGCCAAGGAATTTTTGTACTGATTAGTCATTATTTGAGCAAGAGGTGATCAGTAGTTTTTGCGTGGGACAAAGAAGTATTGGAAGGGGGACTTTCTTTTTTGGTTGAGTGTATATATATAGGTTATGTACAGTATGCAAATCTAAGCATTAATAGTACTTGACCAAGACAGTCTTACAAAAAAAGGTTGAGATTCTGTAACTTACATTCTAGGCATTGCTTCAGATGTACATTGTAAGGCTGAGCTTGTGAAGTGTGTACTGGACAGTGTAAGCCTATTGAACTCAATTAAATAATTGAAAGCACATTGTATGAGATGGAGGAGTTATTGGGCAAGTCCAAGAAAAGGTCCCCTTTTTGTCTCGTATGTAACGCCATGTTTTCTTTAATTACATAACCACCGCAAAGACTAATAACATAAAAATTCTTTTGGGTATTCTCCGTGCAGATGCCCACCAGTAGAATAAAAAAACCCACTGAAATCCATGAATATCTTTGGTTATGTGTGGGCATGGGCGTCAATCGCTTCTCAAAAGTGGGGCGGACATACCTTGATCAGAACTCATGTGAGCGCAAAGCCCGTTCGGCGTGGGGTTCAGTTTGCTTAAGGGCCCCGAAAAAAATTGGATTCTAGATGCTCTGTGGTATGATCTGAAGCAATTTCTTACCACTTTTCTCCGTGCTTGAACTATAATTCATTCGTAGCAAAAGATAATTATTTGAACATCGTTTTCGAGGTTGAAGTCATTGAATTGGCTACCGGTATTCTGTAAAAAAAAAAATTGGATTCTCGATGCTCTGTGGTAGAGGCAATTTCTTACCACTTTAACCAATAATTTTCTTAGCAAAAGATAATTATTAAACATAAGTTTCGAGGTTTTCTCAGATAAAGGCATAAGATAATTATTTGAACATCGTTTTCGAGGTTGGAGTCATTGAATCAGCTACTAGAATTCTGAGCTACAGGTGTGGGGTTCGGGGCCTGCTTAAGGGCCCCGAAAAAATTTTGATTCTAAATGCTCTGTGGTGCTATATGAGACAATTTCTGACCACTTTAACCACCAATAAAGCAAAAGATACATTGAAGTACATAATACAAGGGCCATGTAAATGAGACATGAGTTCAAAATCTGGGGGAGGGGGGGGGGGACATTTGATATTGTGTCCCCCACCCTTCAAAAAGTGGGGGGGGGGGGGGAACATGTCCCCCTGTCCCCCCCCCCCCCAGGATTAACGCCCATGTGTGTGGGAACGTAGCGTGCCCAAATTCTTGAACTTGCCCATTTGCCGCTGAAATCAGTAGAACTGTTTTACAAGGGAAACCACAAGACCACCAGATATGACTGTACACCGGTCACCAAACTACTGGACTTTTGGTCAACTGTTTGGTGGCTCATTTTGAGCAGAGGTGTTACTTTAATAACCTCTGAACATCAGATCTAGGCCCAATTTCATAGCACTGCTTTAACAGTAAGCAAAAAAAGTTGTGCTTACTATAGCAGAAAATCATGCTGCTGCTTAAGCACTATT